GGGCGAGAGGAGGGGGCGCAGAAAGAGGCAGAGCACGGGCGGGGCTGGGCCGTGGGCGCGTGCCTGCCCCGGGGGACCCACGGGCGCTGGCACCCACCTGCTTGCGGGCGCGCACCACGCGCAGGGCGCGGCTGTGGAACGCGTCGTTGCTCGCCTTGTTGTACTCGCTGATGGCGTAGGCCAGAGCGCGCTGGACGCCCTTCTCCTGGGGGTCAGCATCCGAGAAGCCGCCCACCATGCCCATCTGGTTGCTAGAGGCCATGGCCAGGGTCACGGCCAGGGCGGCCAGCAGGAGCAGCGGCAGGCGCAGGAGCTGGGCCATGGCGTGCTCGGACTCCGGCGGAGAAAGACAGCAGCACTGGGTACAATCCCGAGGCTGCCGGGGCCCTCCGCCCCACCGCGGCGCTTTTATAGCGCTTGGGCCGCTCGCCCCGCCTCCTCCCCGCCCCCTGCCTCTGGCTCCTCCTCTTCCGGGAACCCCACTCCCTCCCTTCCATCCGCGGATCCTCCCCACCACTCCTGCTCCGCCCCTCTCCACGTCCCCGCCAGCGTCTCTACTGCTGCTCTCCTCCTCCCCGAGCCCGGGTCCTCCCGTCTCGAGCTTCGCCCCTCCTTTTCTGCAGAGCGTTTACAAGCTTGGGTCTTCTCTGCCTGAAGAGAATTGTCCCCGACCTCTGGTCCCTGGCAAGGTGGGACTTCCGACCTCCGAGAAGGGAAGCGTAGTGATCTGGGCCTCCTAGGTCCGGATCCCAGGCTTCCATGAGCGCGCAGTCCGCGTCTGGCAGTCTCGGGCGCTGGGACGCGAGTCAGACTCCGGAATGACCTGTCTGTGCCTGTTCTGAAAAACTTCCTTGTCAAATATAAGCAAATTCATCTTTATTGGAAAAAAGGCCGCCGAGTTCCCTTTGCCTGATTGATTATTCAATAAAAGAAGCTTTCGCGGGTTCTCTGGGCCCAGCGGTCCCGGGCGCAGGATCTGCGTCTGAGCCCAGGAACGGACGCTGTAGGGTGGCTGTTCGGAGACGCGGCATGATCCCTGTGTGAGTTTAAATGCTCTAGGGGACATTTAAGAAAGCAAAAGAAAGTGGTGAAAGTAACGTTCATATTTTTATTTAACTGAATATACCCAGAGTACTATTTCAGTTTACTTCAAGCGAGTTTACTTGATTCCGGGTGTGGAGAGGTACTGTCTTTGCAACCTCCAGGGTATTTATTTGCACACGTACTGCAGGTGTCTGTTGGGACTGGCCCCATTTCAAGTGCCCCGTGGCCACACGTGGCGGTGGCTATGGCGCAGCCCGCCCAGTGCTGCCTGGAGGGCAGGTGCCCTGACAGCAACACCTAATCCCAATAGAGCAGGCACCAGGCACCGGTGTGGCCTCCGCAGCTACCAGAGCCCTCTGAAGGAAGGTGTGCCAAGAAGTGGAGGGCTAGGGCATCGTACCAGCTGTCCGAGTGACCTTGGGCAGCTGACCTGCCTGCCCTGTGTGCAGTAAGGCTGGAGAGGTGAGCTGCTCTGTAAAGTAGTGTTGGGTGTCAGAGCCAACAGAGATGAGCAGGACCCAGAGGGACACAAGGGACCCAGGACTGCGCCATGGGGCCTCTGGCACCCATGCACCATGGAGAGGCTGGTCTATCCGTGAGCTGAGCATGCTTCTCTTCTGTCACATGAAGGAAGCAAAATCCATGCTCTCCCTGGCCGTGTGTGTGAGACAGCTGGCCTCCTGATCTGAACTAGTAAAGAGGTGTTGAGCGACAGTTCTCTATAATAAACCCCATTACTGAGAGGATATGAAACACAATGCATGACCAACCTCATATAACGTCCCCTAAAGTTGCAAGTGGCCAGATCAAGTTGGCTCAGAGCTGAGAATTTGAACATTTGGGTTTTGAGGAATTAAAACTTGGTATCCCTGGCAGTAGCTCATGGGTCTTGGTGGCATCTCAGAAGGGCAGACTGGGACCTCCCTGCAGAGTGTTGGCATTCTTAGGTCAAGCTCTGAAGCCCCTTACACACAGCCTCCCACCCTGCCCTCTCCTCCCCCTCTTGCCTCCCAGTGCACTTGTTGGCTGTGGGTCAGTACTGACAGGTCGTTAGGGCTCTGATGGGCTTACTGCCATGTCAGGAAACTGCCACTTGGGACCAGCAGATGGTATAATGACTATGTCACTGGACTCCCACATAGTCAACTGTGGTTCAAATCCCGGACCTGGCGGTTTAAAATACCAGGCGCTATTCTCCCAAGAGGAGAATGGAGGAGAAGAGACTGGCATGGCCATCCCCCCAGGGCAGAGATTTCATGAGTGCTCTCTCTCTCTCTCTCTCTCTCTCTCTTTCTATCGCCGGGAAGTGCATGTGCTCTATAGAAAAAACCTCTCTCTCTTAAAAAAAAAAACAAAAAACCCAAAAACCTGACAGTCATGGAGGACCTGTGGGCAGCCCCTTAGGGAGAGGCAGGAGTGCTCAGCCCACTCTCTGCGATCTGACCACGCTACACTTGATGAGGGAAACAGAGCCCTGCAAGTCTCTGCTCAGGGTCTGATACAGACGGCCCCCTCGCCTCGAGCCTTGTGTTGTGTCACTGCTCACTTGCACCAGCAGTGCATTTACCAGAGCAGATGTGTGACTAAAGAACCACACCCAAGCCGGGCAGGGGCGGGGCAGGGGCAGGGCAAGGTCTTAGGCAATGTGGCTGGTCGACTCCTGCAGCTGAACACTGTCTGTCTCCCTGGGCCTGCAGCTACAGAAGCCTTGGCCATGAGGAAAACAGGATGGCTCTGACTTGGGTGGAACAATCCTCTTGGCGTCTGGGAGGTTAGCGTCTCCTTTACACGTCCACAGTCTGGCTGCAGCACGCCTTCCCTCTTGGTGTTTGTAACATTCAATTTCGGTTCCTTTGGCGGAGCTCACTTCTAGTTCCTGCCCAGGATCGTGGGGAACGAGAGGTGGGAGGCGCAACATGGAGGCCGTTAGGGCCACCCTGCCTCCCATGGTACCCCAGGGCTCCTCTTTCCTGCAGTCACAGGGGTCCACTGCAGAGACCTTGACCACGCCCCTCACCCCGTCCTCACCTGGACTGTGTTGCCCTGCCTTAGCGAAGTGCCCTCCTTGACATCCCATCGCCATGCACACCTGAGCACGGTCGTCCATCCCTACTGGACACCTGCTCCATTATCCTGCCTTTAGTGAGAATCCTGGTAGGTTGGTGTAGCCAGGATTCCCCTCCCCTTGGTATCTTCTCTTCACGATCTCCATGCATGACCCCATCCTTCTTCTTGGCTGCAAATCCTCCCTTGTGCTGTGGACTGAGGGTTGAGCTCAGTCCCTCTCCTGTTACGGTCTATGCAGTAGTCTTGAGTAATGTCTTCCTTACCATTTCAGCAAATGCCAGAACACGTCTTCAGAGACAGGCCAGCTGGCCAGAGCTTGAACCGTTCCCACGATTTGCCTGGAACATGAGGAAGATGCTGCTGCCAGTAGGGGGCAAGACCTGGGTACAGGAGGGCAGGAGAGGGCAGAGAACGGGTGAGGGCAGAAGGAGGGGTGGAAGGAGGAGGTGCAGGGAGGTGGGGAGGGGGATGCCCTTCCCCGACGTCTTGTAAGGGCACGTGTCTAACTACAGGCATGTTGGAGAGCGTTGTATCGCCGTACCCCGCCCCCGGATTCTGCCGAGATCCGGCACTTGAGCATGTCTACCCACTCCCTGTCCGCCCCTCAGTGCACTTCTGATGCGTTTCAGAGCTGCAGACATGGGTACACTTCAGCCCTAAGCCCTGACATGGGCACATCATTAACTGCAGCACCACGTCTTGTCACAGGTCTGTCCGTTTGTTGTAAAATCCACCTAGGGTGCAGTACACACACCTCGGGGTCCACTCACTGACTCTGCTTGTTTAGGTTTCTGCCACAGGGAGCATGTGCTCACCAGAAAGAGAGGGACAGTGAGAGGGAAAGTGAGAAATCACCCTTGTGGGGACGTGCAGGCCACAATCCCTTCTCCTGCATTCTCCTCCTGGGATCTTGTACGCACATGCACATGTGCGAGTCTCAAGCCACCAGGTCCAGGACTCGAACTGCAGTCGGCCATGTGGGAGTCCAGTGTCTTAACTACCATCCCACCAGCTGGCTGCCCATTCACTAAATTGTGACAGAGTCACAACATGTGTGACCCAAAGCCTATCAGAGACAGAATAAGGTGATCTTGTCTCTGAAGGTCCTGTCCTCCTCTTTTCCAGTCAGCTGGTTTCTCGCCTTGAGACAACTGCTGCACCCGTGTTTTTCTCACTAGAATTATTATTATTATTATTCTAGAAATTCATATAAATAGAATTGTATAGCGCAAGGCTTTGTTTGCTCTTACCTTTAAAATTTTTTTTGTCAGAGGGGCATCTACTCACCGAGAAAGACAGAGAAAGAGAGAAATGAGAAAGCACCCCATGTGCTGCAACCCCCTCCTGCATCCCCCTCCTCTCCTTTGGGCATGTTGGGCATGCTCACTGTGTGCATGTGCACATGGCGTGTCTCTCAAGTCGCAGGTCTAGGATTCGAACTGTGCAGTTGGCCATGCGGGATCCAGCCACATTAATGGACTTCTGTCTGGCTTTCTCACTCAGCGTAACGGTTTTGAGATCAGCCCACATGAAGCTGTACATCAATAAACCAGCTTTGGTCGCCCAAGTGGCCTTTCCTGGGAGACCACCCAAAGAGGCTCAGGCTCTGAGTTCAGGCATGTCCATGCTGAGAAGGCCGCTCAGCTCCCAGGCAGTTTCTGCTGTCTCTCCTTTCTTTCTCACTGAGAGCAACTGCTGCCCGGCCTTCTTGCCCCCCCTCCTCTCCCTCTCTGTCTCTGTCTCCTAAAAGCTAGCTTTATTTTTTTGCTCCAAGCAGAATGTAATAGGAGAAACAGGTGTCACTGTCAGTAAAAACTCTTTTTTACCACTCTTTCTCATACTGGAAAACAAAAGGTCTTAAAAAAAACTATATTAGTATACTGTGCTCAGTAGAAAAACAAATAAATAAGAAAATGAAGAAAAGGTTTAAAAAGATGAATGACGTGTGCATGTGAATGTGTGTGTTTATGCATGTTTCCATCTGCATACATGTGTGTAAGTCACTGCAAATGTGTATGTATGTGTGTGTATATATATATATATATATAGTTCATATTACATTTAATCATAAATATTTTTTTAGGATATGACATTTCTTTTTCCAGCACAATTACCATGCATATCAGTCAAGACATTACCGTACACATCATCAGCAAATAGCTTTTCATTTTTTTTTCTATAAAACGTTTTTATTTCTTTTTCTTCCCCTGTTCCCCTCCCTCCTTCCCTCCCTTACCCACCCTTGTATCACCCCTATCTTTATTATCTCTAATATCTACTGTTGCCCTCCCTGCT